GTCTCCAAATGGAGAAGAGGAAAAGGAAGAGGACAGAGGAGAAGGGCGAGTGCGAGCCTCGCTGCTCCTGCTGCCCCACGCTCCTCTCGCCCTTTTCGAGGATTCCACCAGTGGCAGGGAACTAGAAGGGGGCGAGAAGATGGTGGCATCGGGCGGCAGGAGCAGCAAGGCTTGTCCTCCTTCCCTTCCAGGGTCCTCCCCTCTTTCTCTCCATATGGAGATCTCCAAATGCAGAGGAGGAAAAGGAAGAGCCCAGAGGAGAAGGGCGAGTGCAAGCTTCACTGCTCCTGCTGCCCAGGCTCCTCTCGCCCTTTTCGATGCTTCCACCAGTGGCAGGGGCCTCGAAAGGGGTGAGAAGAGGATGGCACTGGGCAGCAGGAGCAGCGAGGCTTGTCCTCCTTCTCTTCCAGGGTCTTCCCTTCTTCCTCTCAGTATGGAGATCTCCAAATGGAAAGGAGGAAAAGGAAGAGCCCAGAGGAGAAGGGTGGGTGCAAGCTCAGGTGCTCCTGTTGCCCATGTTCCTCTCGCCCTTTTTGAGGCTTCCACCAGTGGCAGGGGCCTGAAAGGGGGAGGGAAAAGGATGGCACAGGGTGGCAGGAGCAGCAAGGCTTGTCCTCCTTCTCTTCCAGGGTCTTCCCGTCCTCCCCTGCGTTTGGAGGTCTCCAAATGGAGAGGAGGAAAAGGAAGAGGCCAGAGGAGAAGGGCGAGTGCAAGCTTCGCTGCTCCTGCTGCCCACGCTCTTCTCGCCCTTTTCGAGGCTTCCACAAGTGGAAGGGGCTTCGAAGGGGGCGAGAAGGGGGTGGTAACGGGTGGTAGGAGCAGCAAAGCTTGTCCTCCTTCTCTTCCAGGGTCTTTCCTTCTTCCTCTCCGTATGGAGATCTCGAAATGGAGTGGAGGAAAAGGAAGAAGCCAGCGATGAAGGACGAGTGCAAGCCTCGCTGCTACTGCTGCCCACGCTCCTCTCGCCCTTTTCGAGGCTTCCGCCAGTGGCAGGGGCCTCGAAAGGGGCGAGAAGAGGGTGGCACAGGGCGGCAAGAGCAGCGAAGCTTGTCCTCCTTCTCTTCCAGGGTCTTCCCCTCCTCCAATCCGTTTGGAGGTCTCCAAATGGTGAGGAGGAATACAGCCCAGAGGAGAAGGGCGAGTGCAAGCCTCGCTGCTCCTGCTGCCCATATTCCTCTTGCCCTTTTTGAGGCTTCCACCAGTGGCAGGAGCCTCAAAGTGGGCGGGAAGAGGGTGGCACAGGGCGGCAGGAGCAGCAAGGCTTGTCCTCCTTCTCTTCCAGGGTCTTCCCCTCCTCCTCTCTGTTTGGAGGTCTCCAAATGGAAAGGGGGAAAAGGAAGAGGACAGAGGAGAAGGGCGAGTGCAAGCCTCGCTGCTCCTGCTGCCCACGCTCCTCTCGCCCTTTTCGAGGCTTCCACCAGTGGCAGGGGCTTCGGAGGGGGCGAGAAGAGGGTGGCATCGGGCGGCAGGAGCAGCAAGGCTTGTCCTCCTTCTCTTCCAGGGTCTTCCCCTCTTCCTCTCTGTTTGGAGATCTCCAAATGGAGAGGAGGAAAAGGAAGAGCCCAGAGGAGAAGGGCGAGTGCAAGCCTCACTTCTCCTGCTGCCCACGCTCCTCACGCCCTTTTCGAGGCTTCCACCAGTGGCAGGGGCCTCAAAGGGGGAGGGAAGAGGATGGGACAGGGTGGCAGGAGCAGCAAGGCTTGTCCTCCTCCTCTTCCAGGGTCTTTCCCTCTTCCTCTCCGTATGGACATGTCCAAATGGAGAGGAGGAAAAGGAAGAGGCCAGAGGAGAAGGGCGAGTACAAGCCTCGCTGCTCCTGCTGCCCACGCTCCTCTTGCCCTTTTTGAGGCTTCCACCAGTGGCAGGAGCTTCGAAGGGGGTGGGAAGAGGGTGGCATCGGGCGGCTGGAGCAGCAAGGCTTGTCTTCGTTCCCTTCCAGGGTCTTTCCCTCTTCCTCTCCATATGGAAATATCCAAATGGAGAGGAGGAAAAGGAAGAGGCCAGAGGAGAAGGGCGAGTGCAAGCCTCGCTGCTCCTGTTGCCCACGCTCCTCTCGCCCTTTTCGAGGCTTCCACCAGTGGCAGGGGCCTCAAAGGGGGAGAGAAGAGGATGGTACAGGGTGGCAGGAGCAGCAAGGCTTGTCCTCCTTCTCTTCCAGTGTCTTCCCCTCCTCCTCTCTGTTTGGAGGTCTCCAAATGGAGAGGAGGAAAAGGAAGAGCCCAGAGGAGAAGGGTGAGTGCAAGCTTCGCTGCTCCTGCTGCCCACGCACCTCTTGCCCTTTTTGAGGCTTCCACCAGTGGCAGGGGCCTCAAAGGGGGCGGGAAGAGGGTGGCACAGGGCAGCAGGAGCAATGAGGTTTCTCCTTCTTCTCTTCAATGGCCTTCTCCACTCCGTTAGGAGGTCTCCAAATGGAGAAGAGGAAAAGGAAGAGCCCAGAGGAGAAGGGCGAGTGCGAGACTCGCTGCTCCTGCTGCCCCACGCTCCTCTCGCCCTTTTCGAGGATTCCACCAGTGGCAGGGAATTAGAAGGGGGAGAGAAGAGGGTGGCAGAGGGTGGCAGGAGCAGCAAGCCTTGTCCTTCTTCTCTTCCAGTGTCTTCCCCTCCTCCTCTCTTTTTGGAGGTCTCCAAATGGAGAGGAGGAAAAGGAAGAGCCCAGAGGAGAAGGGTGAGTGCAAGCCTCGCTGCTCCTGTTGCCCACGCTCCTCTCACCCTTTTCGAGGCTTCCACCAGTGGCAGGGGCCTCAAAGGGGGAGGGAAGAGGATGGGACAGGATGGCAGGAGCAGCAAGGCTTGTCCTCCTTCTCTTCCAGGGTCTTCCCGTCCTCCTCTCTGTTTGGAGTCTCGAAATGGAGTGGAGGAAAAGGAAGAAGCCAGCGATGAAGGACGAGTGCAAGCCTCGCTGCTACTGCTGCCCACGCTCCTCTCGCCCTTTTCGAGGCTTCCGCCAGTGGCAGGGGCCTCGAAAGGGGCGAGAAGAGGGTGGCACAGGGCGGCAGGAGCAGCGAGGCTTGTCCTTCTTCTCTTCCAGGGTCTTCCCCTCCTCCTCTCTTTTTGGAGGTCTCCAAATGGAGAGGAGGAAAAGGAAGAGCCCAGAGGAGAAGAGTAAGTTCAAGCCTCGCTGCTCCTGCTGCCCACGCTCCTCTCGCCCTTTTTTAGGCTTCCACAAGTGGCAGGGGCCTCGAAGGGGGCGAGAAGAGGGTGGCACAGGGGGGCAGAAGCAGGGAGGCTTGTCCTCCTTCTCTTCCAGGGTCTTCCCCTCCTCCTCTCTGTTTGGAGGTCTCCAAATGGAGAGGAGGAAATGGAGAGGAGGCAAGCTTCGCTGCTCCTGCTGCCCACGCAGAGGCCTTGAACGGGATGAGAACAGAGTGGTTCCGGGGCCTGGCCACTATTTTGGGAGGCGGAGGGGGCGGGGCAGAGGAGGCAACCTCGCGACCCCTCTGAAATGGCCAGGCAACCTCTCGGGGGGTCACAGTCCCCAAGGTGAGAACCGCTGGTCTATAAAAACATTTTAGAAAAACTTTGAAAATTCACCAAAAATCCATGGATATGTCAAAGATTATGATATTTGGTGAGCCAACAGTGGTCCATGTGTTCTACCACTGTAGCAAGTTTCATGATGATTGGTGAAAAAATGAGGGAGGTAGAATCCCCTGAAATTTCCCCAGTGCCAGTGCTGTTTTTTTCCTACTGTGCATGCATGTCTGCCATTAACGAAGTGGTTCTGAAGTTTCTGGAAGTTTTGATTTTTTTAAAAAGGAAGTGACTTTAGAATCAAACCACCAGTGCCCCCTATATCCAAAACGAGTTTTGAACCTTTTTTTTTTTGGATCAACCAAGCCTACTAACCGCATCTCCCTCTGTTTGCTGTAATTCCAATTCCATCTTTGGTGGGAGTCCAGAGTGCTCACTGATTGCAGGTGAAGTATAAATCCCAGTACCTTCAACTTGTCCAGGCCAATTCTCTTCAAAACTCATCAGTATTCAAATTTGGGTATATTGGGTATCCATGCCAAGTTTGGTCCTGATCCATCATTGTTTGTGTTCATAGTGCACTCTGGATGTAGGTGAACTCCTCCTCCTCTAAATCCCTCCAAAGACTTCCAGTATTTTTTGTTGGTCATGGGGACTCTGTGTGCCAAGTTACTTCCAGGTGCATCACTGGTGGAGTTCAGAGTGCCCTTAGATTGCAGGTGAGCTATACATCTCAGTACCTACAACTCCTTTAAGTCATAGTGAATTCTCCCCAAATCTCTCTAGTATGTTCACTTGATGATCAATTCCTCTGTTTGCTGTGTGAAAGAATAGGAAAGAATAGGAAAGGGTTATGGGAGAGGCATTGGGCGGGGTCATGCAAGTTCCACAGGAATGGAGAGAGTCAGAAACACTAGGATGTCTTTGGTGGAGGAAAAACAGAAAATATAGGATGAAACTGTCCTTGTATGAAAGCCTTCACTTGTGTGGTGGGCAGGATGGTGTTTGTGGATGACACTGGCAGGGCTCTTGGACATGTTCATGGCACTCATGGAGCTCACTATAACCTGCAATGTCATTGGTGGGAGGGCCATTGGTATCTCCTGAGTAGTGGGAGCTATAGCTGTGTGTGGAGGTAGGAGACTGTCTGTGTAAGTGGACACCCCAGCCACACACACACATATTTTCACTTTTATTATGTGTATAGATAGATTATGAAGGCCATTCAAACTATCTTCAGGATCCTCCAGTGTCAATTAAAAGGGTCACCTGATGCACAGAAACACCTCCAAAAGTGTGATATGGGATGTCCGTCATACCATTGAGTGACAGGATCCCATTCTTGGGATGTTTGTAGGTGCCACCCTCCCCCCCCTCAAAAAAAACCTACTTAATTACTTAACACCTTGCTCCCCCCCCCCCCAACCTTTTAAGTCAATTCATTCACACCAGAGATGAGTTAATCAGGAGTTAGGGAGGGTAAGAGGCAGGACTAGCATTAAGAGCATGAAATATACCATCCTAAACTATTATGGCGAGCTTCTGTTTAATAAATTATTTCCATGTTATACACTTGTTTGTGCCCGAGAGCACTACAAAAGGGTTATTTGGGGGTCCAAAGTGTCGGCAGTGATTCCTGGGGTCCAAACACTCTTACGGGAGATGCCTGGGAGCATCTAGACTGTTCCCATCTTGGATGCCATAGGCCCTCACGTTGGATGGAAAATATCCACCGGTTCTCCATATCAAGAGGCCCACATTTTTTTCCCATTCTCACTTGAAGGAATGCTGAGTTTTTGACTGCAAATCCCAGTATCTCCCCTCCACCAGATAAATGAACTCAAGAGTAGCTTTGGGAAATGTGTGCTTTGCATTTACTGGTTCCAGAAATGCCAGTAGTATATGAAATTGGAATACAATGCCTATCCTACACTTCCCTATAAGTCTAATTCTGATAAACCTCACAAGAGAGAGATTCTAAAATCTAACAATTTCTAGAACCTGTGCCTCAGGAAAGAAAGGAAGTCTATAAGTAGGACAAGGGAGGCAGAGCAGAGGGGGGAATGGGGTAAAAACTGGTCCTCTCTTGCCAAGGGATTGCCACCCACATTGCATCATGGGTCCAGATTTGCTCCTGAGCTCCCCCAAAATGAGTTATTATTATCACACACGCGCACCCCAAAGAACTATTAGTGTTCTTGTCTGCCCAGGATGTGAAAGCAAAAGCTGGTTTTCTGTGAACCTTGAAACAACATGGTGGACAACCACTTGGACATCTGAGGAGGGCCAATGATCGTTCTGCAAAAGGAAAATTCCACCCAAAAAGGATGTCCACAATCCAGAGGTGATCACTCGCTTTGGCTGTCTTCACTGTCGGAGTAGGTGCCCAAGAGGCTGAGAGATGAAGGACCAGAAGATGCTGTGGTCGCTCCTGTCCTGCACCCTAGGAATGACCAAAAGCAAGATGGAGCCAGATCAACTTGGTTCCCAAAGGGAAATGGCAAAGAATCATTCTTTCTTTCAATGAAGGCTCTACAAACATAGAATCCTAAAGTTGGAAGTTTTGGAAAATGTGAATCTCCAATTTGGGAAATGGGATTCATAACGTTTTGGGAAAGCCACTGGCCATAGGAAAGGCATGATCATTTTTCCTCTTTGGAAAAACGATGTTCACCAGCACTCATGCAAGGCAACTAGGTCTCTCAGCCGTTAAACTGATATACGAGGGTTATCCGGAAAGTAAGGTTACATGGCACCTATCTCTCACGGGGAATTTTCTCGAGGAAAGTTGCTATCACTGCCATGTAGTGGGAAGCCAGTGGAAGCGAATGAGCAGTGCCAGTTGTCAGTAGCTCATCAACTGGCATTGTGGTGAAGGTTAGAGATGAGCATCCTCATTCCGTTCCCTCCAAGTGCAAAGTTTGCACTATAATACGCTACCTAAATGCTAAGGGCATGAACTCCCCGCTGCGATTCATCACGAAATCGTTTCAGTTTATGGAGAGGACGCAATGTCAAGACAGCATGTGACAAAATGGGTATGGAATATATTGGGAAACCAAGAAGAAACTTTGCAGAGCCATCCAAAACAAAAATCATGGGATGCTGACGGCAGGAGTCTGCCTCCTTCAGAGACAGAGGTACTCCTGGTCAGTCGCAAGGCCGAACAGGGCATAGGGTTACAGCTGCGCCCGTACCTTGGGAAGTCTGACTTGGCCACGGTAGTCCACGCTCTGGTTACATCCCGTATAGACTACTGCAACGCTCTCTACGTGGGGTTGCCTTTGAAGACTGCTCGGAAGCTTCAAATGGTCCAACGCTCGACAGCCAGGTTACTAACAGGAGCGGCACTCAGGGAGCATACAACTCCTCTGTTGCGCTAGCTCCACTGGCTGCCAGTTTGCTACCGGGCACAATTCAAAGTGCTGGCATTAGCCTATAAAGCTCTAAAAGGTTCTGGCCCTACTTACCTCTCCGAACGCATCTCCTCCTATGAACCAACTAGGACATTAAGATCATCTGGGGAGGCCCTGCTCTCGGTCCCACCTGCATCACAGGCGCGCCTGGCGGGAACAAGAGACAGGGCCTTCTCAATGGTGGCCCCTTGGCTGTGGAACGCCCTTCATAGCAGATCGGCCCCATCCCTATTGGCGTTTCGGAGGAAAGTGAAGACCTGGCTGTTCGAACAAGCATTCGATTAAGTAGTGTAATAAATATAGGAACAGGGATTAATGGATGATGAGATTGGATTCTGATTTTACTGATGAGACCCTAATGATTGTTATATTGATGTTTAATTGTTGATGATGCTATTGTTTTAACTGTCCCATAATCGTTTTATGATGTTTTGCATTGAATTTTGCTGTTGTTAACTGCTTTGAGTCGCCTGAGGCAAATAAATAAATAAATTTGAGTCGCCTGAGGCAAATAAATAAATAAATAAATAAATGCGCATCCGCACACCGCTCATGCAAGAGTTGTTGACTTCATTTGGTTGGGATGTTTTAAACCACATCTCCCACAGACCCGATCTTACACCCAGTGACTATTGTCTCTTCACTCAATTGAAGGAAAACCTGGGTGGAAAACACTTTTCCAATGATGACGAGGTGAAAATCAAAGTGACAAACTGGCTGAAAAAGGTGGAGGGAAACTCCTGTGACGAAGACATCAAAATTCATCTTATGGATGACAAAATGTATTGAACTAAATGGCAATTATGTGGAAAATAATGTAATACCTATGCTACAATCCATAAAAGCTTTATTAAAATATATTCATTCTTTGTATTTTTTTAAAAAATCTTGTAACCTTACTTTCCGGATAACCCTCATAGAATCCTGGAGTCGGAAGTTTTGGAAAAGTTCATGCAAAGAAAAAAGGTCTCTTAGCTGTTAAACTGATATACCTAGGCATGTCTTTGAACTGCTAGGGACAAAGACATGCCGATGCACCAAAACACATATATATATTCAGCAGAGTTTCAGAAGTGTTCCTTTAGTTATCCAAAAGAATCTACTCTCCCTTAAAATATATTTTCTTTAAATCATGCTCTCGATAGACTAAATAAACAGTCTTCTTTAAGAGTAACAGAGCTGGTTTACTCACAAAACTTCATGTATACAGCATATAGGCACTTTGCTTATGAATCCAGTTACAACAGGATTTTGTAAGAGGGTTATCCGGAAAGTAAGGTTACAAGATTTTTTAAAGATACAAAGAATGAATATATTTTAGTAAAACTTACATGGATAGTAGCATAGGTATTACATTATTTTTCCACATAATCACCATTTTGTCATCCGTGGGACGAGTTTTTGATGCTTGTGTCACAGAAGTTTCCTTCTGCCTTTTTCAGCCAGTTTGTCACTTTGATTTTCACCTCATGGTCGTCGGAAAGGTATTTTCCACCCAGGAAAATTTAGTTCAATTTAGTAAACAGATCATAGTCACCTAGTGCAAGATCAGGGCTGTGAAAGGGGTGGCTAAAAACATCCCAACCAAATGAAGTCAACAATTCTTGTGTTGCATGAGCGGTGTGCAGACACGCACTGTCCCGAAAGAGACAGACTCCCGCAATCAGCATCCCACAACATTTGTTTTGGACGGCTCTGCGAAGTTTCTTCATAGTCTCTCAATATATTCCGTACCCATTTTGTCACATGCTGTCTTGACAGTACGTCCTCTCCATAAACTGAAACGATTTCCGGATAAACCTCGTAGTAGTTTCTCTGTGTAAGTAAACCAAGGTTTTATTTTCTGTTACTGAAGCTTTGATGTTCTAAATGACAAAGAGGGCCCTTTTTGCCACTACACATTGCATTCAGCAGCAAATACTTTTTTTTTGGTTTCAGGGTTTTGAAAATAGAGGTGCACATGAGATTTGATGGCATATGAGGCTCGAGTCAATATAGGTTATTTGCTCCATGGAGAGGTCCAGCATAGCGATGAAACAATGCACTTGGGGAGCAAGAAACATAAGGGAAAGAGCACAGCTCAGAGAAGGCAAGGTCCAACAATTTTCCTTTCATAGATTTAAGTGGCATGTCGAAGCCCAGGCGAGTTAAGAGGGAATAATCCCTCACTTTCTTCCATTACCTGAAGACGCATCCTGGCTTGCGGATCCATTAGTCTTCTTCTTTGGGGCCACCATTCCCGACAATTGGGCTTTGTGGGACAGGTTGCCCACACTCCTCTCCCAGGTTTCTACCTTCTGCCTCTTCAATGGAGGCTCAGGGTTCTGGGAAAGGAAACGCAGAATGAAGTCGCGGGGCACGGTGGTTTTGGATACATAGTGATACCTTGATTTAAGAGTGTAACTCGTTCCATGATCAGGCTCTTAACTCAAATCACTCTTGTAGCAAAGCAAATTTTCGCATTCAAATGCAATGAAATGCTATTAACCCGTTCTGCCCCCCTGAACTCACCCCCCATTTCTCTTACATGTTTTTAAATGAGAAAATTTATATTACAAATAGCAAATAATGTATAAATGCATATATCTTCTAAATACATAATAAAAGTGAAAATACATATGTATGTATGTGGCGTCCACTTACACATAGGAGTCCTGGCCAATAGGTACCTCTGAGGTTCTAATGGAGGTGCAGGATACCAAGAGGGTGCAATGCGCAATGTGTACACTATAGGGCAGCAAAGGACTACACATAGGAGTCATGGGCAGAAGGGGCCTCTGAGGTTCTAATGGAGGGGCAGAATACCAAGAGGGTGCAATGCTCAATGTCTCCACTGGAGGAGGCAAAGGATTACACACAGGTGTCCAGGACAAAAGGGGCCCCTGAGGTTCTCATGGAGGGGCAGAATTCCAAGAGGGTGCAATGCTCAGTGTTACCACTGGAGGGCAGCAAAGGACTACACATAGGCGTCCTGGACAAAAGGGCCTCTGAGGTTCTAATAGAGAGGCAGAATACCAAGAGGGTGCAATGTTCGACGTCTCCACTGGAGGGCGGTAAAGGATTACACATGGGCATCCTGAATTGGACATGGCTCTCAATAAATGTAAAAATGGCAAAGCAGCTGGCCTGGATGATCTACGGAGGGAACAAAATCAAGAACTTTGGACCAAAAGCAAGGCGCTGGCTGCTGGAGCTGATGAACAACTGCACTGCATCCTGTCAGATCCCCAAAATCTGGAGGAAAGCAAGAGTCATCGCCATCTTGAAGCCAGGGAAAGGCCGTAATGATCCAAAAAGCTACAGTCCAATCTCCCTCTTGTGCCACCTCTACAAAGATCTGGAGAGACTTATTTTGCATAAAATTATGGAAAAAATAGACCCATGTCTGATTCCACAGCAAGCTGGCTTCAGGAAAGGCAAAAGCTGCATATCGCAAGTGCTGAACCTGACTCAGCACATAGAAGATGGCTTTGAAAGGCAGCAGATCACAGGAGCTGTCTTCATAGACCTGTCAGCAGCCTATGATACTGTAAACCACCGCCTCCTCCTGAGAAAAATGTATAATATCACAAAGGACTACCATCTCACCTGACTCATAGGAAACCTGCTACAAAACAGGAGCTTTTTGGTTGAGTTCCAGGGCCAGAGAAGCAGATGGCGAAAACAGAAGAACAGCCTGCCTCAGGGGAGCGTGCTTGCTCCATCCATGTTCAACATTTACACAAATGACCAGCCACTGCCAGAAGGGACAGAGAGCTTCATCTATGCTGATGATCGTGCCATTACTACTCAAGCAAGGAGCTTTGAGGTGGTTGAACAGAAGCTCTCCGAAGCTCTAGGTGCCCTTACCACCTACTACAGGGAAAACCAGCTGATCCCTAATCCATCTAAAACACAGACATGTGCCTTTCACCTTAAGAACAGACAAGCATCCCGAGCTCTGAGGATCACCTGGGAAGGAATCCCACTGGAGCATTGCAGCACACCCAAATACCTGGGAGTCACTCTGGACCATGCTCTGACCTACAAAAAGCACTGCCTGAATATCAAGCAAAAAGTGGGTGCAAGAAACAATATCATACGAAAGCTGACTGGCACAACCTGGGGGTCACAACCAGACACACTGAAGACATCTGCCCTTGCACTATGCTACTCTACCACTGAGTATGCATGCCCAGTGTAGAACACATCTCACCACGCTAAAACAGAATACCAAGAGGGTGCAATGCTAGATGTCTCCAGTGCAGGGCGGCAAAGAATTACACGTAGGCCACCTGGACAAAAGGGGCCTCTGAGGTTCTCATGGAGGGGCAGAATACCAGGGGGGTGCAATGCGACATTGTCTCCAATGGAGGGCGGCAGAGGAGTTACACATAGGCGTCCTGGACAAAAGGGGCCACTTAGTTTCTAATGGAGAAACAGAACACCAATGCTCAATGCCTTAATGAGATATGCCGCATTATCACATGGTGTCTGTGCCCTACACCACTGGAGAAATTACACTGTCTAGCTGGTATTGCACCACCTGACATCCGCCGGGAAGTAGCAGCCAATAGAGAAAGGACCAAGGCATTGGCATCTCCAGTTCATCCCTTGTTTCGGTATCAGCCAGCACGTCAACGACTTAAATCAAGAAATAGTTTTCTAAGATCTACAGAGACACTCGCTGGAACACCCCAGAATGACCAGGGTGGGAGAAAGGACTTTTGTCTGCTGGAGCTAGGTGTGAATGTTTCAACTGACCACCTTGATGAACATTTAATGGCTTGGAAGTGCCATAGAGTAAACAATCAGGCACATCAAATCACTCTCAAAAAAAGATTCCCCCCAGGCATAGATGCAGGCGAAACATCAGGAGAAAATGCCCCCTAGAACATGGCCATATAGCCCGGAAAAACCTACAACAACCCAAACTTTGTGTTTTCTCTGTTTGTTTGTTTTGTTAAAAATGTAATACAACTGTCTGGTTGCTCCTGACACGATAAATAAATAAATAGGCATCCTAGACAAAAGGGGCCTCTGAGGTTCTCATGGAGGGACAGAATACCAAGAGGGTGCAATGCTAGATGTCTCCACTGCAGGCAGTAAAGGATAACACATAGGCCACCTGGACAGAAGGGGCCTCTGAGGTTCACATGGAGGGGCAGAACACCAAGAGGGTGCAATGCTAGATGTCTCCACTGGAGGCAGCAAAAGATTACACATAGGCCACCTGGACAGAAGGGGCGTCTGAGGTTCTCATTGAGGGGCTGAATACCAAGAGGGTGCAATGCTAGATGTCTCCAGGGCGGCAAAGAATTACACGTAGGCCACCTGGACAAAAGGGGCCTCTGAGGTTCTCATGGAGGGGCAGAATACCAGGGGGGTGCAATGCGACATTGTCTCCAATGGAGGGCGGCAGAGGAGTTACACATAGGCGTCCTGGACAAAAGGGGCCACTTAGTTTCTAATGGAGAAAAAGAACACCAATGCTCAATGCCTCCTCTCGAGGGTGGGAAAGGACTACACATAGGAGTCCTGGGCAGAAGGGGCCTCTGAGGTTCTAAGGGGGGGGGGGGGATACTAAGAGAGTGCAATGCTCAATGTCTCAACTGGAGGCAGCAAAGGATTACACATAGGCGACCTCAACAAAATGGGCATCTGAGATTCTAATGGAGGGGCATAATACCAAGATGGAGCAATGCTCGATGTGTTCACTCGAGGGCGACAAAGGATTACACATAGCTGTCCTGGAAAAAAGGGGCCTCTGAGGTTCTAATGGAGGGGGAGAATACCAAGAGGGTGCAATGCTCGATGTCTTCACTCGAGGGCAACAAAAGATAACACATAGGCCACCTGGACAAAATTGGCCTCTGGGGTTCTAACAGAAAGGCAGAATACCAAGAGGGTGTAATGCTCAATGTCTCCACTGGAGGCGGCAAAGCATTACACATAGGCCACCTGGACAAAAGGGGTCTCTGAGGTTCTAATGGAGGGACAAAATACCAAGAGGGTGCAAAGCTCAGTATCTCCACTGGGGCAGCAAAAGATTACACATAGGCGTACTGGGCAAAAGGGGCCTCTGAGTTTCTAATAGAGAAACAGAACACCAATGCTCGATGCCTCCACTGGAGGGCGGGAAAGGACTACACATAGGAGTCCTGGGCAGAAGGGGCCTCTGTGGTTCGAATGGGGGGGGGGGCAGAATCCTAAGAGGATGCAATGCTCAATGTCTCCACTGGAGGCAGCAAAGGATTACACATAGGCCACCTGGACAAAAGGGCCTCTGAGGTTCACATGGAGGGGTGGAATACCAGGAGGGTGCAATGCTCAATTTTTCCATAGGGAGGCGGCAAAGGATTATACATAGACATTCTGGAAAAAGGGGCCTCTGAGGTTCTAATGGGGAGGCAGAACACCAAGAGGCTGCAATGATAGATGTCTCCAGTGAAGGGCGGCAAAGGATTACACATAGGCGTCCTGGACAAAAGGTGCCCCTGAGGTTCTCATGGAGGGGCAGAATACCAAGAGGGTGCAATGCTCAATGTCTCCACTGGAGGCGGCAAAGGATTACACAGAGGCATCCTGGACAAAAGGGGCCTCTGAAGTTCTCACGGAGGGGCAGAATACTTAGAGGGTGCAATGCATGATGTCTCCACTGGAGGCAGCAAAGGATTACACATAGGCCACCTGGACAAAAGGTGCCCCTGAGGTTCACATGGAGGGACAGAATACCAACAGGGTGCAATGCTCAATGTCTCCACTAGAGGGCGGCAAAGGATTACACAGAGGCATCCTGGACAAAAGGGGCCTCTGAAGTTCTCATGGAGGGGCAGAATACTTAGAGGGTGCAATGCACGATGTCTCCACTGGAGGCAGCAAAGGATTACACATAGGCCACCTGGACAAAAGGTGCCTCTGAGGTTCACATGGAGGGACAGAATACCAAGACGGTGCAATGCTCAATGTCTCCACTGGAGGGAGGGGGAAAAGTACACATAGGAGTCCTGGACAGAAGGGACCTCTGAGGTTCTAATGGGGAGGGTGGGGGGGGGGGCAGAATACTAAGAGGGTGCAATACTCAATGTCTCCACTGGAGGGCAGGAAAGTACTACACATAGAAGTCCTGGGCAGAAGGGGCTTCTGATGTTCGAATGGGGGGGGGGGGGAGAATACTAAGAGGGTGCAATGCTTGATGTCTCCACTGGAGGGCAGCAAAGGATTACACATAGGTGTCCTGGACAAAAGGGGCCTCTAAGGTTCTCATTGCTCTTGGGAGGAGAGCAATATCCAGTCTCGAAAAAATCGTAAAGAATAGAGACATCACACTGGCAACAAAGATCCA